TACTCCTGAGCAGATCTGTGCAGTGGAATGTGCTGGGTTTTGGTTTGTTTGTTTGTTTTTTTTCTAATCCATACAAATATTCAGAGTATTTTGTCTCATAAACCTCTAATATAGAATAATCTATTGTTATTAGCATAGGGTGGGCTCTAATACAACTCATCAGTGCCGTCTCTGAAAATGACTGCAGCAAAGCAGTGGTCATGATGTGGCTTATCTTTCTGCAGCTGAGGTGCTCAAAAAAGGCTGTTTCTATACAAGTGAAGAGACATCTTGGAGTGGAGCTGGAGCAAAATCTTGGGAGTAGCATTTGGTATACTACTTTTCCCAAAATGTATTTGCTAAATAAGGTATCACTGTGAAGCCCTTTTTCCACTGGATGGTGGCATGCATCTGCTTAATTTATTTGATAAACATAATGCAAACAAGAAGAACATTACCTACAATAAATAATTCAATCATTTTGGCTTATGCATAGAAGGAAATCAAGAGTGAGACCATTGACTTAGCTAGGGATGGGATGGAAGTTGTCTGGGATGAATTTAGACCACTGCCTTTTATTACCACAAGCCTCCTGTTTTTCTGCATCCTCCAGTAGTTTTGTTCCAGCTTTCAAGACGACTTGGCTTCCCCAGTTTACAATATTGATAACTTTCCCTTTTCACCTGTATCCATTTCCTTCGGGTATATGCATGTGGCTGCACCAGCATTTTTTTTGGATCAGGATACCACTTTTAAAGCTGATCTCCTGCTCAACCCCACCCCCCATGCTTTATATCACCAAACGGTTCTGTAGCAGAGTGAACAGGTTCCTTTCAGATGAGGTAAAACTTGAAGACAAGCTCCAACTACTTGGGCATGCTATCAACAGTACCTGACAGCAGCTAGTCTGAAATAAATAAAGTCTCTTGAAACATGCATCCATGCCAACTGACTTAACCTGCAAAAATCAGGGCAACGCTTGCCCTGATTTTTATTTTTATAGGACAAGTGACAATGACAAGCAAATGAAATTGCTACTTCTGTAAGGGAAATGATAGAATTCAGTAATCTTGTGTTTTACCTGCTCTTGGTAAATCATCCTTTGTACGTGAAAAGAGACTATAGTCATACCATGTCGCTAAGATATCCGGAAGCATATTTAGGGCTAACCTATGTGGTTTGTAGCCACAATCTTAGGTTTTAGGTGCAATACGTGTTCATCGCACCTCTTGCTCATCTGGAAACTGAGCAAGGCAAATCAAAACCTAACAATTTTCAATTATTGTGTATTTTCCTAACATTTCTACTTTAAGCTTCATGGCACAAGATAATTTCAATGAACACATAAATTGTTCTCAGTTACACTAGTGTAATTAGGGTAACTGTTGTTGCTAACTAGGGAAGTGTTCACTATTTTAATAACTTAGTCATTTTAAGGCAATGTACACTGCAACCTGGCCAGTATATCACACAAAGCAATGGTTATAGCCTTGTATCTGCACTTTGATGATGTTGAGCTGCTGCAGAGAAGCAGCATCCATCAGGAAAAGAATCTTGTATGTAAAATGAAAGCAATTAAGTTGGTGCCAGGAAAATGGCTCTGTTCCGAGATCACAGTGGTAAAGACATGTTTTATCATTTCACGTATTTGAAAGTCACTCAAATATCCACAAAACATACTGAAAACAGATCCAAGATTATGAATATTAAATATTTTTATTGCAGTAGTATACCCACGAGTAATTAACTGTGAGCAAAACTTTTGTGGATAGGTACTCAACAGAGGTACGCAGGCACTGTGCCAAACAGACTTTTATATAGAAAAAAAAACCCAACATAGAATCACACAATCAATCAGTCTTTATTACACAAAAGACTGACAAGTAGACTAATGAATTTTATATAAATTTTATATTGTTTTCCCATGCAATTATAAGAGTTTGCATAAGTAATTCCCTCCATTCCTTTTAGTGTCTTATCAGTTAGTACAACATCCTCTCTCAAACTAAGAAGCCTTATTTCTCTAAGCAGATTACATTCCTAAATGCAATAACAATAAATTATTTAAACAAGGACAGATAACACAAGTAAATAACTTAATTCAAAATCTATAATATTTCTCAGGAATGCAGAAAGTAACTTTGCTGGTAACAATAAAATTCATTTCATATTAATACATCTCTGAAAACTTTCTTATTTTCCACTTTTATTTTTTGGTTGGTTTTGTTTTCTTGCATTTAAGAACAAAATCCAAATCAGAGGGTAAGAGACATTCCTTCCTGACTGATATTTGCACAGGTTCCCTAGTCTGCGCCTGCAAGAACAAACCAAAGCAGCTTCTCACATGGATGGGCTCTGGACTAGCTCCCTGTCATCACAGGCATTTGGCTTCTACTTCTGTACCTCATTAAGCTAAAGTTCATTTGAAAATGAGACATTTCACTACCTATCAGGACACAACATAAGCTGGCAGCTCCCTCTCGGCCAGGGTCCTGCTTGCTGTTCTTTAGTGAAGGAATAAGGAAAAAAAAAACAACAAACAAACCCAGCAGTGCTGTAGGAAAGAAATACGTAGTGCTTTTATTGAATTTAAAAAAATACCTTTCTTCAAATTGCCTTTACATAACACATGAAAACTTTAACATCATTTGTATAAATATAGAAAAAGGAACAAGTAGTTTTTTTAAAATCAGTGTTTTGGCTCAGTAAAATAAATTTCCTTTCCCTAAAGGTAGGGATAACAAGTAGCAGTTTTTCATTCAGTTTATTCCAGTCAGCAAAAATAATTCAGGAGGCCCAAAGTTGCTGGAACTCTGTTGGCTGGCCTGTGTAGTGTGAGCTGTCAATGCGGAAGCGTAAAGTTAGTATTACACCCTAGATCTCAGAGTACAAATACCATACTTCTAGGGTCTAGTCTTCACATTTGATATAGGCGTCTTCTTAAGGGGGAGGTCTGTGAGCAAACCATACAGCTTCTGTCCTACCACGTTCTTTTATCACTGGTAACTGAAACAAGCCTTGCTCACATGGATCTCAGTAACTTTAGATGCACCTTCAGGCTCTTTACCTTACAACAAGCTGTCACAGAATACACACCAGATTTAAAAGCTGTGCGTAACAGCTACGTCAATGTGGCACTTCATGACCAGAACTGATCCACCCTTGACACTCCCATCTTGACCAAAATATCGAATGACACCAGAATACAAGCATGTGCTTGTATATACATACATGACATTCAGCAGTAAAACACTTAAGTACCATGGCAGTTTGAAAGCCTCATGTTTCAAATGCTTATTTCCCCCTCCTATCCTGAAATGAAGAGATTCTTATTTCATTCTTACCAAACACACACTCAGTTCACAAAGCTCAGATGGCACTGTCTCTCAGAAGCAGAGTTTCAAGTTTTCCAGCATACACCAAGGTAAACAAAGCACTTTAGGTGTGAGAGGAATCTATTTCCACCGGTTTTGTCACTTATCAGGCAGAACATGAGGGTCACACCATCCCACATTCACTAAGCAGTTCTTCCAGGGGATGGCACCTCACACTTTCAGTCTTGTTTGGTTGAGAACAGAAGCGTAACATGATAAATGCTTGAGCCATGAAGAAAAAAAGGCCAACATTGCAGTGTCAAAATGAATAGACAAATTCTGAAGGACGTAGAATACGATTTTTTTTTTCAGGTGAAAAAGTGGAGATATCACAGGATCAACTCAAAGGGAAAATTTCTGCCCAGTACTGTATTAGCAACAGCCTTCAAGGACAGGTTGGCAAGTGATGGAGTTTGACACAATAGTAAGTTGGTTGTTCCAAGACAAGGGAGCTGTATGGAAAAAGATAGGCCACATTAAAAGAAAAAAAAAAATCAAATCTGTTTAAAAATCAATCAATTCCCTCCCCCCCAGAAAGAACTGAAAGTACATCACTAGTTACACTCAACATGCACACTAAGTTTTAATAACTTCCTTTCCCAAACAGCTCTTTGGAAGCTGCAGCTCCAGCCCCACTTCAACTAGGCCCAGCCAAATTCAGTACATGGTCCTCTCAGATTCCTTGTATCAGGGCAGAGGGAAAGAAGAAAAACAAGCAGCGGCAGGGGGCAACCCAGGGCATCTCTTTCACTTTAAAGAGTATTAAGCAACAATATAATTTTAGCTCTATTTTCTAAACACAGCTGGAGCCAAAATACATGGTCCTACCACCCCTTTTCTTCTCCCATATCACCCTGAACCCTCCAGGAACCAGATAAACTCACTAAACTATACCAAGGAAAAGAACGGTTTCTGCCACCATAGCTGATTCAGCCAGCTTCAGCTGTCGGAGCTGATAAATGCTGGAGCCAACTCCCTGGCTAGGAACAGGAGAGAAAACCTGCTCTCCTTCAGCAAGAGCAACCTGCAAGAAGTGGGTACCATGCAGCCCCTTGATCTGGTCCTTAAGGTAAGGCAGATGAAGCCAACCATCCTATGCTCCCCATGAGACACAGTCTGTATCATTAAGCTAATTGTTCCATTTGGGTAAAATAAGAACAAATATATTAAGCCATTTAACTGTGGGAGAGGGGATGAAGGGGTGTCAGTGTGAAATCCTCTAGAGAGTAGGTTTTTGACTCAATACAGCATTAAAGTGATATTTTTATGCTGCCTGCATGGGACAAGTGACTAAAAATGGTACAGTTCTTTACAATGTCAACAAGATCAGAGAAGAGTATTTATACTTTGTCAGGTTCAACAGCACTTTGAGGGGGCTGGGCTTGTCTCTTACCTTTTCTCTTGGACGGTAACACACTGGTGCAATAACACAGAGGGATTTATCTTTTGGCAAACTGAATAAGACAAGTAACAAACTTCTAACAAAGAAGTTTTGTGTCCTTTCATTAAAAAAAATGAAAGAAAAGCACTTACTGGCATCAACCATCCCCATTACATAATATCATAGTTGTAATTAATGCAGTTCTCTTCATATTCGAACTTTAACTGTAATAAAACATAAGGTTGTTTGTTGTGTTGTTTGGTTGGTTGTTTTTTTTTTTGGGGGGTGATAGTTTTTCTCCCCTTTCAGTTTTAATAACAAAAAATTTCCAGCAAATCACAGTGCAATTCTTGGAAAAGGCTTCATGTACTTCCTATGTGATATTCATGTCATCTCTGTGCTAATGATGGCATTTCAAAGCATTCTGTTGTTCTGGACAGAAGAAAAAAAATGATTCACATCTGTAGATGAAGCTGCAGTACCTTCAGTCCAAAAAAATCTGGATAAGATTGTCTGCACAAAACAGATAAATGTGACCTTCGATCAATCCATCACCAACCATGTGAATGGAATTAGTCATTAAGTGTCATTTTTCTTTTGTTATTTAGGGAGAATTAAAGTCTTTTGGTAACAAATGCAGTCCTGATGAAGATCCATTTTTTCTGGATGGCATGTGGTAGCGCACTTTCTTCCAGAATTTGGTACTTGCCGAGTGAGACCTTTCTGAGAAGTCCCCTTTCCATCGGATCGCTCCATGCTTTTGCTTAACATACTTGATGGATTCTGGCATGGTTGCATAATCCTGTATTTTTTCCAGTTCAATGAGAATTACTTTAATGCCATCTTGGATAAGAGCGTTGTACATGGCTAGCTGCTTTTCAGATACATCTTCTAGAATACTATAACAGGAGGGTTCTGGTACTAAAACAATTATCACTCTTCTACTTTGATGAATTTTTTCATCAGCGATGCTGATCACAGCTGTAGAGGAAAAGGTTGTACAAAATGAAGGGTTTATGTTTCTATTTTTTGTTACTAGTATGTTGCAGTTGTTTCACTCACTGTTTGATAGGACAAGGGGGAATGGCTTTAAACTGAAAGAGGGTACATTTAGATTAGATATTAGGAAAAAATTCTTCACTATGAGGATGGTGAGGCACTGGCACAGGTTGCCCAGAGAAGCCGTGGCTGCCCCATCCTTGGCAGTGTTCAAGGCCAGGCTGGACAGGGCCTTGAGCAATCTGGTCTAGCAGAAGCTGGGTGCTCCTGCTCATGGCAGGGGGTTGGAACTAGATGATCTTTAAGGTAATTTCCAACCCAAACAATTTTGTGATTCTGCAATATTTGAGCCAACACACTTTAGCTCACAAATAGGGATAGAGTAAGAGCATGCAAGCAGTTACATTGTGTTAGCCAACAAGTAGAAATTTGGCCAATGCAACACAATCTGACCCCATCAGCCTGCACTTGCATATTCTTGTTTTGCATAAACAGAGGAAAGCTACCAACGATCAACTACTTGTTTTGCTAATGTCATTTTATCATCATCACAGGTGCAATAGCAAAAAAAAACAAGTTTCAAAACCATATGCAAAATAAAACTCATCTGCAGATGTCTAGGCTAGCCAGACACTAAAAAAACCTGGAAGAGCCAAACAATGTCAGGGGAAAGGCAAAGATTAACAGACTTCATAGAAGCACCTAGTGCTGTATTTCTCATTATCCAGAAGAGAAAATAGGAAAACAGCTCATTTGATTGTGGTTGATTTTTAGAATCACATCTGATTGATTGTCTGTTTCTGAGTTGTATTTGCAACTGCCAATGAGAAAAAACTCAAGTGTAATTTGTCTTCAGGTAACTTACCTTCTCCTGGTAAATCATCCCTCCCAAATATGAAGAGGTTATACCCACACTGTCTTTCTAAGACCTCTGGTAGTATCTTCAGAGCAAAAATATCTGATGAATATAAGCAGCTCTCTCTGTTTTTTGGATACACAACATAAGCATCATAGATCTTCCCATCTGAAACTAAAGAGCAAGCAACAGAAGTAATATGAGAATGGATTCTAAAGACACAAAAGCAAGCAAACAAACAAAAATCTCTAAACTCTGGGGTTTCTTCCCCACTGGAATAACTGTTTTAGGTCCTAATCCTGCTGTTACCTAACCATATATTATACTAAGCCTGAAATATTTGTAGAATCAAGCCTTCTAAAATTCAGTATACTGGATCTGAATAGGCAAAAGAGACATGTAAAATGAAGTAGGTTTTAATATTCTTTTTTAACTCCAAATTTTAAAAATGTTGGGAAATAGGGGTTCTAGTAATACAACTGAATACTTAATATTACAGCTGCCATATAACTCAAAGGTAATTTTTGTAACCTGGAGTTTCAAAGCACAGCAACCACTTAAACATGAAAACAAAAACCAAAGTATTTGGAAAAATTCAAGGTTTGAATGGTATTAGGTATTCTGAAACAAACTTTTCAGAAAGACCAAATTTAAAAGACTTCAAAGAAACATAATGGAATCTCGATAACTCTAGAAAATACCTTCTGTTTCTCTAGCCAGGTATCCCCTCTGAGATGTCAGGAAATGACCCACAATTTACCATAGTCTCATAGACAGCTCCCCTAGCAACATTTTTCTGAATGACAGGAATTTACAGGAAGTAAAATAATTGGAAGTGCCTTCAAATAGAAAATGAAAGCAAGTGAAATTTGTCCTGGTTCATCTATTGAAAGTAAGAAACAATTCCACTGTATTACTCCTTTCTGTAAGAAGAATAATTAAAAGAAATCTAAAGAACTGCTATCAGAGCACCATTCAAACCACTGAAATATGTCTTCAGAGACAGGAATGATAGTTCTGGATTCCTGGAAAGGTGCTGATTTTTCCCCCTGCAGATGCTTTTGTTTTCTGAACTAATTTTAAGCATCCTAAAAACATGTTATCCTTTCAAAAATCCCAAGGAAGACCGATCACACTCCATGTGGTTAGCTCCTTGCTTTGCAAGGGAATGTGGAGCCTTGTTACAATACAGAGTATTGTTACACAAACATACCTTTTTTACCCAGGAAAAGATGGCAGGAGTCCCGATACCAAAGCACAATATCAATTTTGAAGATCTTGTAGATACAAAGAGTAAAAAAACCTAAAAATACTAAAGAAACTCCTCCTCCAATTAAGTAACCTTGAATGTTCCGAGCTGCAGTAGGGTGGAATAAGAGGAGAGGAAACAAACAACACACAGTTATACACTAGAACCAGAGAGACGAAATTGTTTAGCCATTAAAATACTTTTTAAACAAGGAATTAATAAATAGAACTGGAAGTTTTTCATGTATTCCTTTCTGCAAATATTCAAAAACCCTACTATTCCATTTCAGAGAAGAGTTACTTTAGCTATGTGGCAAATGAGGCTACTCTTCAGCTGAAACATGAAAATATTGACATATAGACCAGGGCAACAGTAGTGACAATTCTTGTATAAAATCTTATCAGTCAGAAAGCAAGAAAGTCAAAGGTGGGAAGGTGATTCCTGACCATGCTGTTCTCCCCAGCTTTCCATTCTGTCTAGCATCTTTGAAGATCTGTCATTGAATTTACTAATTTTCTGTCCTAAAAAAAATCACTCCCCACAAACTGCATTTTTCAGTTCATGCATATTAAATGATTTCTGAGGTTAAATCTTACCCTGACAATCTTTATGAAGAACTTAGTTATGTAACAAGCTAAAGCTCAGATCCACTTTTTAGTCAATCTTTTACAATGTGGCCAGTTAGAGGCAAGTTTGAGAATAACTTCTGTTGAAGGATTGGCTCACAGCTGACAAAATCAGCTCAACTGAAGCTCAATAGACCAGAGGCTATTTTTCTTCAGCCCTGCATTTGAGCTTTCAAAGCCTGCTTTACCTTTAAGTTCTTCTACTAAAAAGAAAATGTCCTGCTAGCTACCAATAGGTCAAACTTAATCCTTGTCTCTGAGCACAAGACTGGGCACAAGCCACATTCTCCCAATCAACATGCATGAGCCTATCTAGAAAGTGATAGCACATGCATCAGTAACGGAAAGTCCATAACCTTTCCAAGCAACTATTTCATTTCTTCATTGTTATTACTATTAGAGTTTCTCCTACTACATAAGTAGATTTATTTTTTTTTCCTCTCCTTTCTCCTTGCGATCTGAAGCCTAGTATTTGTTACTGAAGGATAGCACAACCAGGTCCAAATATACATTCATGGCCTTTTGACAGTCCACACTTAGTCTTGTCTCCCTTCCCAGCTTTTCAGAGAACTGGCCATTTTCACTGCTCTTCTAGAAATACAGTCTCCTCCAAATCACATGCTTCTTTAAGTACAAGTGTGTAAAATGAAGCACAGTATTCCACTGAGGTATGATACTTGCTTGAAATAAATTGGACTGTTTCAATAATGTTTCCTAAAACACTGAATGAGAAAAGCCAAAACAAATTTGAGTGTTTTCTTTAATTTTGCTAATAATACAACAAAAATTTCACTAAGAAAGGTATTGAGTTGCACTGCCCACTTTGCACCACAGTACATCATGCAGTTTTAGCTCTAAGTAAGGTGTTGTCAAACTGAGATCAATCTTGATAACCATATTATCAAGATTAGATCTCTTACCTGGGCTTTCCAATTTGAGGTAGGCTGTAAATTGTTGAGAACCATATATGAAGTGACAGAAAAATTTATGTGCATAATCCTTTACTTTCACTTCTGAAATGTTAAATTTTGTTCCAGATACAGCAAGTCCATGAGGCATCCCCTCTCTGTCATTAAAAAATGGTAAAAAGTAAACATCTGTAGAGAAACTGAAATATCATTGGTTAATATGTGATTCATCTATCCACTATTAAAAGAACATTCATTTTTTACCTCTATAAAACTAAGAAGCCAGTGAAGCAGAGTAAATATCACCCCTGTAACAAACAACTTCATAACCAGAGGTGACTTGGCATTTTCCATACATATTAGGTTGCTGGCCTTGATTGCTGAGTGGGACAGAGTGTATCATTAGCAGTTATGCAGATGATACAAAACTCAGAGGGATAGCTGATACACCCCAGGGTCATGCTGCCATCCAGAGGGATCTTCACAGGTGGGAGAAGTAGGCTGACGGGAACCTCATGAAGTTCTAAGCAAAATGCAAATCCTGCACCTGAGGAGAAATACCCAGTCCCTGAACTGCATCAGGAAAAGCACTGCCAGCAGGTTGAGGGACATGGTCTTTCCTCTATTCAGCACTGGCAAGGTCACACCTGGAGTAGTGGGACCAGTTCTGGGCTCCTCAGCATATGAGATTTACTGGAGCAAGTCCAGTGCAGGGCCATGAAAATGGTTAAGGGAGTGGATCATCTGTCATACAAGAGAGCAGGGACTGTTCAGCCTGGAGAAGAGAAGGCTCCAGGGCAGGGGGTGGGTGGTGGATCTTATCAGTATGTTTAAATACCTGATGGGAGGGAGTGGAGAAGAGGGAGCCAGGCTCCTTTCAGTAGTGCCAACTGACAGGCAAGAAGCAATGAAACACTTTCCCATCTGAAATTCCATCTGAACTTTTTTTTTTTACTGTCAGGGTGGCCAAACACTGGAATAGGGTGGCCAGAGAAGTAGTAAAGTCTCCAATGGTGGACATATTCGAGACCCAGCTGGACAGAGGACTGAGCAACCTGCTCTGTCTGACCCTGCTTGAGCAGGGGGGTTGGACTACACAATCTCAAGAGGTTCCTTCCAACCTAAGTGATTCTGTGAATGAAAGACTATTCAAACCAGTAATAACTAGTAATAAAAGTGCCAGGATTCTTTGTACTGACAATAAAGCAGAGACCTTTCTATGCAAACTAATAGATTTCCCAAGCCCATATGGTCCACAGCCAATGGTGTCAACCAACTTGGGAAATAATGATTCAAAGAATTCACAAAAGCTGAGTGACCATGGACCAAACGGCAATAAGAAGGTTGGAGATACAACGTGCTATCATGCTAAGTACCCTCCTGCTCTAAGATTTACAAGTGTAAGGTGTGGAGGAACTGCAGTAGGAAGGCACCTATAAACTAGAATCCTACTCTATATACTGAAGTGACATCACCTTAAACACTCAAGGAAGAAAACTCATTTTGCAGAACATCCTGAAGAACCAGTTTCTGTTACTTAAATAATGGCCAGCAACTTCTGTCATGGGATGCTAATACAAACATCCCCATTTTGCAACATGTTCAGACTCATTCATGTCAGTTTTAAGTTTCCTCCAAGCAAAGAGTTACCTCCCAGGTGTAAGCCTCAAGTCCATAATATTGGCCATGCCTACACTGTGGTTTGCTATCAGCAAATGCTCCACAAATTTAATTGCTAAGAAATTGCTACTATTTTTTGAAATAAAACATTATTATTGCAATTAGATTAATTTCTCTGATACTGGATAACTTGCTTTGCACTATTAATGCTAATTAGAATTTGCACAGGACATATTTTGCACATCTCTACCTCTGGCATGAAAAAAATTATCAGGCAAGATAGTGATGAGTACTAGAAATCACTTCCAAGTAATAAAAAAAAAAATCTTAAGGGAGAATTGCTTTGAGTGTAACATATTAAATACTTTTCAGGAAGTGTTTAATGGCAGCACCAAGTTGGCTTCAGAAGAAGATGCAGTTACTACAACTTTAAAACAGCTACACAGAGCTGCACATGCGTCTTAACTGGTGAAGCTGAGAAACCTCATGCCCTAAAGAAAAACGGACTTAGATATACCTTAAGAGACCACAAGCTGGGGTCCTATATTTATAAGCAAACAACCAAGCAGACAGATCTATAATGAAACTAATAATTCGCTCTAAGGGAACTTTGGGACAAAGGAGAACTAAGATTCTTTCTGGAGGCCAGATAGAGATGAATGAAAAAGATGATTTTAAAAGCAGTATGAAAGCTAATTCTCTTATTTTGCATTGATGAAGGCACTTGGTGGAGATAGCAATGCTTCTGCATGACTATGAGCTGATCAGCTGAGAATTTCTATTTCTTTCTTTTCATACTGTATTTTAAAGGTTGTATTTAACAGCAGTGACTGATAAAACGAGAAAGCAAACAGTACATTCACACTATGCTGTTATAGACCAGTCACTGACTGAGAAAGGTCCTGCTCTCTCAAAAGAATTGCTGGTTTTATCAGCTTCAATTGCATTTAATTTTCCTGAACACAAAAAAAAAAACAACCAAAAAAACCCACCAAAACCTAAATGTCTCACAACAAGAGTTTCTGCTTTGTGTTCTTGAGGATTAGCAGTGTGTCTGTCCTTAGAAAAGGACCAGCTTCACAAATAAAAATAAGTCAAGTGATTTTTGTTTGGAACAACCTATCCTTCCCATATTAATGCCAGAAGGCAGGCTTTAATCTACTAGCAAAAAAAGACTGCATAAGAACAGATGCCTAAATAAGCCTTACAAAATCATGTTTCACAACAGCATTATAAAAGCCTACGTATGATTGCATTATTACATTTATATCTGATAAATCAGTATTTATAATAAAATGGTTTGTTTGTTTGTTTTTATCCCAAGCAATATGAATATTACGTACTTAATGTAGACTTCTAATCAGTTTTTCAATGACTACTGGCATCTAGTCAAATGCACTCAACTTTACTGTGAATTCACTGCAAATTTTTGCATTTAATTCACCTACAAACGCATTTACAGTTCAAGGTATTATACTCACTCATAATACTGTTCCCTGTAGGTGCTATCAAAGATATCAACATCCTCATCGTCAACTTGCCAGAATGGAATCAAGCCATTTATGCCACTTGATATATTACATTCCATAACTACATGAGAACCTACAAAAAACATTCAAATATGGCAACTGAAGGTCTTCTAACAGAAGCAGGATCAAGTGATTGGGGAACAGCTTTGAAAAGGAGGGATATGGAAAAACCCACTTACCTTATGAAAAGCAGAGTCCTTAAAACTCATCCATTTGTAATCCACACCTGAGTGCCTCCGACCTGGATATAAACTCCACCCTAAATGTAGGTGTCTAAATGTTCACATCTACACATAAGCTAGATGTCTAAGCTAGCAACAGAGTTCAGCTCTGCTCAAGTCCACTTAGATACAAGTAGACACACCCGGACCTTATCAACTGAACGGCTCTCCAGACTCCACTGAAAGATCTCCAGGGCTCAAATCAGTTGCATGTACACAGTGTGGTGACATCTGAGATGCTCTCCAGCATCTAAGACATCTGTATGGAGCTGGCAGATAGGACTTCAGATCTTCAAGAAACTTGTCCTGCTAGAATAGCCAGACCACTCAAACCAGCACTAGACATCTATGTGTAGGCAACTGAATTGAGCCCCCATTGAGAATGAAGACCCACTGTAGGAGAGGAACTGGTTCGAGACCATCTTAAAAATCTGAATGTGCACAAGTCCGTGGGTCCTGATGAGATCCATCTGTGGGTCCTGAAGGAGATGGCAAATGAAGTTGCGAAGCCACTGGCCATCATATTTGAGAAATCATGGCAGTCAGGTGAAGTTCCCGATGACTGGAAAAGGGGAAATATAACCCCCATGTTCAAGAAGGGGAAAATGGATGAGCCGGGGAATTACAGACCAGTCAGTCTCACCTCTGTGCCTGGCAAAATCTTGGAGCAGATTCTCCTGGATGGCATGCTAAGGCACATGAAAAACAACAAGGTGCTTGGTGACAGCCAGCATGGCTTCACTAAGGGGAAATCCTGCTTGACCAATTTGGTGGCCTTCTGTGATGGGGCTACAGAACTGATGGACGGGGTAGAGCAGTTGACGTCATCTACCTGGACTTGTACAAAGCGTTCGACACTGTCCCACACAACATCCTTGTCGCTAAATTGGAGAGACATCAATTTGATGGATGGACCACTCGGTGGATAAAGAACTGGCTGGATGGCCGCATGCAAAGAGTTGTGGTCAATGGCTCAATGTCCAGCTGGAGACCAGTAACGAGTGGTGTCCCTCAGGGATCGGTGTTGGGACTGATCTTGTTTAACATCTTTGTCGCTGACATGGACAGTGGGATTGAGCGCGCCCTCAGCAAGTTTGCCGATGACACCAAGCTGTGTGGTTTGGTTGATAGGCTGGAGGGAAGGAATGCCATCCAGAGGGACCTTGACACACTTGTGAGGTGGGCTGATGCCAACCTCATGAAGTTTAACCATGCCAAGTTCAAGGTCCTACACCTGGGTCAGAGCAATGCCAGGCACAGCTACAGGTTGGGCAGAGAAGAGATTCAGAGCAGCCCTGAGGAGAAGGACTTGGGGGTGTTGGTTGATGAGAAAATGAACATGAGCCGGCTTCAGTGTGCGCTCACAGCCCAGAAAGCCAACCGTATCCTGGGCTGCATCAAAAGGAGCGTGACCAGCAGGTCAAAGGAGGTGATCCTGCCCCTCTACTCTGCTCTTGTGAGACCTCACCTGGAGTATTGTGTGCAGTTCTGGTGTCCTCAACATAAAAAAGACATGGAACTGTTGGAACAAGTCCAGAGAAGGGCCACGAGGATGATCAGGGGACTGGAGCACCTCCTGTATGAATACAGGCTGAGGAAGTTGGGGCTGTTCAGCCTGGAGAAGAGAAGGCTGCGTGGAGACCTCATAGCAGCCTTCCAGTATCTGAAGGGGGCCTATAGGGATGCTGGGGAGGGACTCTTCATTAGAGACTGTAGTGATAGGACAAGGGGTAACGGGTTAAAACTTAAACAGGGGAAGTTTAGATTGGCTATAAGAAGGAAATTCTTTCCTGTTAGGGTGGTGAGGCACTGGAATGGGTTGCCCAGGGAGGTTGTGAATGCTCCATCCCTGGCAGTGTTCAAGACCAGGTTGGACGAGGCCTTGGGTGATATGATTTAGCGTATCATATCCCTGCCCATGGCAGGGGGAACTAGATGATGTTAAGGTCCTTTCCAACCCTAACTATTCTATGACTCTATGATACCACCTTGACTTAAGGACCCTAACTCATATGCGGATACTCATGTATCAATAACTATACCCTGCAGCTGAATCCCATGTTTGCAAACACACACATCTTTACTCTAGATCAGAGTCTTTTGGCCAACACTGTCCACTGGGATGGTTTCTGAATACTCTCACACTTTGCTCCCAGAATAAGCTCACCTGTCATTCCTTTGCCACCAAGAGTCCAGATCTTATAGAATACTTCAGTATTAAGAGAGCAAGCCAAGTTGCAGAATATATTTATTGCCAATGTACCTCAAAGTTTCATTTACAGGAAGGTAAGCAGCTTTCTTGGAGTCCTTTCCTTCTGTATTTTACCCATGGAAGTCATGATTTGATAGGAGAAGGTGGGCTCTCAGATCTATGTAAAGATCTCGGTGTTTCGTTTCCTAGAACCACATCAGATCTAGATGCTTCCACCAAGGAATGGTGTCTATCAAAAGTATGGAATAAACCTTTAGCTCACATGCAAAGCAGTTACCTGAACAAGAGTTCACATAAAAACCACAGATGCTCCCCCATCTCTCCCCTCACAATAATGAATTTTTCTAAAGATGGGGTTTAGTGCATTTTACAGCTCTTGGGAAGGCAGAAAAACCCTCAAATATTCCATGCCCTCCATTTCCATAGATTCATGAATGTACTGTTAAGCAGCTACACAGCCTTCTGCAATTTCTCATTCAAAAAGCATACAAATGTTTCTAGGTTCATGCAGGTGTTTCCAGGTTCTGCCCCACAGCCAGGCATTTAATGGGAGCAAAGATTTTATTTTTTTCATTAAATAATGGAAGTCACACTAAAGGTACAGAACAGAGAATACTTTTGAATGGCAATGGCAGTGCCCTTTTTAAAGAAAAGAGAACAAACAAAAACCCTATCAAAACAAAAACCTTCATCAACTTCCTTTAAAGGATCCCCTGTAGTAGAGAACTGTTTGTACTTGCTCACTAGCCCACAGTAAACCCATGTTGTGGGTTTGTTCAGTAGCCACAATAAACCCAACTTTGTGGGTGGAGCCATTATGTCTCCTTTTAGTTTCACATGTGCCTGCTTTGGTTCCTATGTGGAGCCAGAAACCCAAAGCAACCTTTCCTCAGAACTTCTCTAATTACCCAATTGGTAATATCCTTCCTCAAAGGATTACAAGATAACTTAGATGCTGCATTAGGAAATTCTAGTAAATAACAAATCACACTTCTCCAAAATCAGCTAATGCCCTTTCTAATCAAATATTTTGTTTGAAACAGTTCCCCCCTTAGTGCACAATGAGAAAAAAAAAACATTACAGTTCAAGCAGCTCTAAACATCATTCTTCTGGACTACATCAGTAGAACACAACTCTGTCCAATGTATGGTGCAATTTAAACATGTATAGGCAAGTCTTTCTAAGCAAACCTACCATACACTTGGCCCACAGAATCACATAGAATAACTGAGGTTGGAAGGGACTTTGGGCAGCCTCCAGTCCAATTTCCAGCTCAAAGCAGGACCAGCTCTGAGAACAGACCAGACTGGTCAAAGATTTATCCAGGTTCCAAAACCTCAAAAGACAGAGACTGCACATCTTCTCTGGGCAGCCTGCTGCACTGCCTGGCTGACCTCACTGGAAATAAGTTATTCCTTATATCCAGAATCTCTTATTTAAAAAATTTCTGAGATAAACAATATGTGGGATATCCATCAACTAGCAGCTTACTGTTTCACAAAAGATCAGAAAGCTTTCAATGCCCTAGATAGAGGAATAAAATCCAAGTTGTGGAGAGGGAAAGGAGACAGGAAACAGAGGAAGAAAAACTATTGAACTGGTCAACTGGTAACTATCCTAACATGTTGTACATGTGTAACCATATTTCCATGGATACTGAAGATATGTCAAGACATGGACACTGGGAAGTGGTACAAAGGACAGATGGCAAGAATAAAATAAATACATAAATGCATCCTACCCAACACTGCTGGTCAAGAGACTCCAATCTTAGGCCCACAGTCATCATGTCATGTCTGTGTGCCACCTCCTCCCCCACTCCCCAGTTACTTGCAGGAATAATACTCTATTATCTGTCTTCCAGATATTCTCAATCCACGCGCCTATCTCCCACTCTTGCTGAAGTCAGTGGAACTCTTCATGTGTTATTTCTGACAGACCAGTGGCTTATTGGTTTCACTGAATGTTAATGACTTCTTAAATAGTCACTACTTACCAAGTTCTACTTCAATTGTATTATTCTTCGGATAAATAAACTCTGGCCTCATCTGCAGGGGTCTTTCTAACAGAAACAAAGAGAAAAATAAATCTTCAGGCAAGAAATTTTCCACAATTTACTTCAACTGATAGTTTTACAATGGTTTTATTTTATTGTCTGGTATTATTGTAGCTCCACACTTACTACCACTTTCAAATTTACAACAAAAGTATCTCATGAGATTTGCTGTACTCTATCCAAATTATTCTATTTTAGCTTCCAAATTAACAAAAGGCTTTAGCTTATCTTAAAAATACTTTTAAAAGAAAATCAGATTTACTGATAGTTGATATCAAAGTAATATAAAAACCAGAAAACAAACCAAAAACATACGATTAGCTTTGTCAGACAGATGGAAAAGGAAGAGGGATTGTATCAACAAACTCCTAGACCAGGTGAATATCTATTTAAGTAAAAGAGTAAACAAGCACACACTTAAACTGGGCTGCATGATGTATAAACTCACTGCTAGTAACCCACTGTTCTCATATTACCTATCTAAAGTCAGAATTTGGATTTTATCTAAAAAATTAACACCCTGCATCCCACTAACTTTTCTGATACAATACTACCATGGTACTGGCAAGGTCATCAGCAATGCTACCTAGAAAGACGCAATCACAATAATCACAGCAATAAATGACAGTACTGGGACAGTAAGGCAGCCAGTTCTGAGCCCTTTGTGCAGAAGAGCAAAACCAATTGCCAACAAGTTAAGCCAATCCTTTCCAGAGGAAGATTTATTAACTTTACAATATTTATACAGCTTGTCACATCTCTTTTCCCATCAATTGAGATTCTACTAAACTTTGTAAGCAAGTTCACCAACAGGGCCACAAGCAGGTGTTTTACTGTGATGGTCTCAGAAAAAAAAAAAAAAATCCTTTTTATTTAATTTAATAGTGCATTATTTGTTTTAGCAAAAATACACATCCACTCAACCCCCCTAGTAATCACTCCTTCCTCCTAATTCTCATTCCTAACCCTGCATTTCTCATTGCTCCATGACAATTCCTCCTCAGAAGCAATGCTCAAAATGCATCAAGAATTAACATGCACCACTGCATTTCAATTTTCAGTTCAGGGAAAAATTAATTGAAGGTGATTACAACTCTAATTTCACAGAGCTGAAAAGTAACATGCCAAATAGTTTATGCTTTCATACAAACATTTACAGCAGAGCCAAAAAGAGAAGAGAGTAACCTCAATGCACTCACCTTTAACCTCTAGACTCATGGTTCTTGAAACATTATATTGCTTTCCCATGTATGTGTACACCATACGGCATGTGTAGTTTCCTCTGTCTTGTACAGTTACATTGCGAATCAAGACAGCATTTTCACCCTCTGCCAAAAGAAGTCTCTTGTCTTCAAGAAATCCAGGCTTACACTCCTAAACACATCAAAAGTACCTGTAATTTAAGGGAACTAATAACCTGATAATATTTAATAAGTTACTGAACTCTACGGATTATTAAAGTACTTGACAAATACCGATTTCTTTTTTCTGCAAGACACAACATGGGTTCTTATCCAAGTATCATTACACTCCAACACGAAGTCTGATGATGCCTTGTTGCATTTGCACTTTCTAAAAATCACTGCAGCCAATTTTCAAATGCTGTGTTTTAGTTCACTGCCTTCATCTAATAGCTTGACAGTTAGATATCTCAAGTGCAACAGAAGTTATTACACATGTTTATGAGAATACATGCCTGCATTGCCAGTTCGCCAAAATGAATGAGAACTGCTGTAGCAGTGCCTCGTGCTGATGGGTGTATTGCTGTTTCTGTGGCAGTGCAATGCAGTGAAAAACACTCTTTCCTGACCTATAAGCAGTGTAGAATCATTTCATCTCAAATGATGTAAAATAACCTTGGTACTGCACCTATACATGTACAGGCTGAGGTATCTATTTTAATACCAGCATCAGAATTAAGCTACTTTAGAATTTTACCTTAACACAAAATACGTGTTTCTAAGCTTGCATAGTCTACAGAGTACTCTGGCAAAAACAGAACAAGAGGCATAATAATACCACAACATGATCACCAGATAGGACAAGCCTAATATTCTGAAAAACTGAAATTAATTATGCAGAGCCTTGTATATAAAGAAACATGTAAGCTTTTAAACTTACTATCTAAGCTTTTAAACTTATTACATACAAGAAATAACCAAAGAATAAACTAGATTTTCATAAATCAACAAGCCAAAACACATGTTTTTGACTCTGAAAAAAAACTGCAATCCAAAAATGGACAACTGGATTTTTAACATACCTCCTATACCTCCTTACACCTCCCCAATACTGTAGCAAGATAGATACCTTACTCAAACTGTAGAGGAAATTAAATCTTTCCTTCCAAAAGCTGCTTTTACACAGTTACTTTATAAAACATTTTAAATAGACTATTTTGTATTCTGTATATATGAAAAACACATGCACAATACCTTATACCAGTGTACTTCAGGCTGATTATTGTCTTCATCTTTAAAATGTTCTAGATCAGGACATATTATCTTTCCAGTATTTCTGCTTGTCACTTTTTGTTCAAACCTCATTTTTCCATTAAAACACAAACTGTTATCATTCTTAAAAACTGCTAAATTTATAGTTTTTTTCTTAGAGTAGTTAAAGCTCCTGTAATGAGAATGGCAGAGAAGTCACATCACTAACAATAAGGTTCCTTGTTTCCACCAAGTCATTAGCAATAAGGTTCGTTTCCAGCGTCAGGGATTTTTCAGAGAGAGACTTCCGCATCTCCACCAGCCTTGCCTCTAACACCCCTTCTACACGCCCCCTAGCTCTTAAACACCCCCCTCAGCTCCTCACCCCCTGTTCCAGATCGAGACATGCAAATAAGCTCTGATCGTGTGTTGTGAGCAGAAGTAAGGTCTGCTCTGAAAGCACCAAAGGGGATGCAAGGACTCCTCAGAGCTGATGCTCTACAGAGCCTCCAGCACCAGCCTACCCTTGCCATTTTCAGCGCTACGTTTGCAAAAACACAGTAGTGCAGGGTACCCTAAAACATATCTGCTCTGGAACATCCTCTCCCAAATGAACAGAAGACAGATTTATCTCAGCATTCCTTGGAGAGACCTATCAAGAAAAAAAGGCTGCAAGTCTTAGCAAAAGAGAAGCAGAGCTTTTGAATAACATACACATCAAGGTGCAACAATGATGCGAAAATGTCATTTTGCAGCAAGAGCTCACAATAACCTGTAGTACAGTAGCTCTGCAGAGGATGAATGGCACTAGAAACCAGAAGCTGATGCCAGAAGTAAAGGAATACTCTCTAATAATTTTTCACTCAACTCTTTATTTCTCAACACTATGCTAAGGGAGAAGTTTCCAGAAGGGTGAACTACATGTTTGGACAGTCCTGGCATTAACTCCAATACACTAATTTATATACTATTTACATACTGCACCTGAAAAGCTCTGTAATTAAGGTTTAAGTGAATGATGCACAAAATGTAGCCTACAATTAACACAACTGAACTTCAAGTTTTTTGTCCCGCTGATCTTTATGCGAGCCAGGGATGTGAGGTATCCACAGGAATACATCTTATAGCTAGAATAACTAGAAATAGCAGGAAAGACTAAATCAAAATTATTTAACTGGGTAGCCTTGAAAGGATTACATTTCTTCTGACTTCCGATTTTAGCTTCATTACCAAGTCTGGAGCAAGAAGGTGCAAAGGCCTGAGACACTGGAAGTTTTTGTTGATCACTGTTACTACACTCACAACCCAAATGCCTTCAGTATAACTGTATGCACACCAGTACACATAACTCTCTAGCACATTGCTTTGCTCTTCAGATAGATACATTCTCAGTTTTGATCAGGAACATTTGGTAATGTTTTAAAACAAAACATAACAATAGTTTTCTGCCTTTTAGTTTAAAATTTCTAGAAGGATTCCCTAAATGCCGATATGATCCTCAGAAAGTCTGTATGTGGTGATACTGCATCCAAAACAAATGAACAAAGCAACCCACCCACATAGACCATTGGTAATATTATCATGCTTTAAGATAAAGAGTCTTCTGTATGAACCACTTCTGCAGTGCTACATGTGTGGAAGGAAATCAAAAAAGGCAGCACACAGAAACAAAAAACATGGTCAAAACAGTGCTTTTAACTGATCTAAGCTCTCTACTTAAAACAAGAAATTCTGTACATTCAAGTTCCACAAATGTATTATCACACCTGTATTAGCACCCAGCTGTTTCCCTCCTTTCTTCCTTACCTTACATGACATTCATAAAGTCCAGAATCTTCCAGCGTTGCAGGAATAAACCAAAGCAAGTCCTGTCGCTGATGGATCCTGGCCCATCTCTCTGTGGTTACTGGTGTAGAACTACCATTTTTATACCACGTCAGATTGTAATCAGATTGAAGGGCTGGCGATATAAATATTGGGCAACTAATAGCTGTAGGCTCTCCAAGAAGTACAAAGTAATCACAAATAATGCATTCTTCTATTGAAAAAGAAAATGAAAAAAATATCAATGCTTTTAATATATATACTTTTAAAATATTAATAATTAATTATAAAGGCAACTGAGTCCTACTGCTTTCAGGACCAGAGCTACAGAATGTCTCTTGAAGATGGCATTCAACAGCTACCTTTAAGTTCCGGAAACCAATCTCTCTGGACTTTCTTCAGAGGAATCAGAGAGAAGCTAAAGTACCCTAAATTTATGTGGCTAGATTTAAAAATATTTATGTTAATTTGTTCATTCCATCCCCAACTTCAACCCAAGAAGAGGCATTCAGCATATATTCAATATGCTAAAGCAACACCAAACACCAAATCCACTATGTTGCTCTCAGTAGCTCTTTTCTGCTAAATACACACCGCTCATCTCTTGCAGGTGTTCTTTTCTAGAATGGTAATTTCAACAATGCATTTAACTTACCAGCGCAGAGCAGAGGTATCAGTAGAATGAGATGGCCAATAAGCAAAAACCTAGATGTCATCTTTTGCTGCAAAGAAGAATTTTTTTCATTAGTGTAGTAAGAGTGTTCAAGCTGTGCTGTTCTCTGCACCCTGCATTACTTCTTAATAAGAAGCATTAGTCATCTACTCCACTTTCCACATGTTTAGAAGAGACACAACTACAGATAATGCAGTGACGTATAAGGTTTCATTCTTCAAAATGTTCTTGTACAGTTCAGGAAACACTGCTTTTAAGTGCAGATGAACTTGTAGCTCTTTGAAAGAGGACAAGCACACTGTAACTCCAGTGTGATCTGGCACTTAAGTGTGTGGAAACAGCAGCTAATATGAATTGCTGTGGTCAGACAGAAAACAAAGCATTTGAGAATTGTAATTTCACTTCACATCTCAGGACTTCTTTGCAGCCTTCTCCAAAGATGTGACTGAACAGGCACCCACTGCCTTCATGGCCTGCAAGTGTCTTCCACAAAACATCTAAATCTCAACCAAGTCCTGCTCCCCTCTCACATGTGGCTACTTTTTCTTGGGAAGACATCATCTTCCAAAGCCTTCTGCTATCAACCACCTGGAAAACACTTAACTCCTTTGCCTTCTGACAGCTCCTTATCAGTTAAGGTCTGCATTTACCTGTTTTGCCTTTCCTCAGTTCCTGACTATTTTGCATGCTGCTCCCTCCCACCCTAAAGCAATCTGTTTTCCCACATAAGTGGCCCATTGCAAAACATTCATTACAAAGGTCCTAGTTAATATGTGGCTTCTACCCAGCTAGAAATGGCTGGAAGACGAGACGGTGTTCCCTGAAAAACACTCATGGCCTTGACTTACTTTTATATCCAGTGTAGATCACTTTAGTGACAAATAAGCCACACCAGCTCCTTCTTTTGAAACATTTCACATGCAGGTATGTTGGGGTAGTAGGGAGGGAAACACAAAGCAGAGTTCAACACTTTAGTGTAACAGCTTCCGAGTACGTACTTCTTCTGGACAGTTCAACTGACAAAGCACTGATACCATAGTTTTTATTTAGTTGCCTTGTATGTGGTTTTCCTTTAACTTGCAAATGAGCTGACACTTCATTCTTGGAGTTTCAATTTACCTGTAAAGAGTGGAGAAGAGGAAAAAAATGGATTTTACAAAACACATTATTTGGACAGCAACATATCCATACAACCCCAAATTTTCCACAGACATCCTAAATGTAAAAGCAAGAGCATCCCTCTGCCTACACTAGAGAGATGACTGAAAACAAAAGAGCAACAATAAAACTTGCAGTTTTGACCACGAATTCTAGCAAAAGCTTTTGGAAAATAAAGTTTCTGTCAAAAATAACATAAGATTACACAGGTGTCAAGCACACACCAAAACCAGGCATAAGGAGCTACTTTGTAAGATAGTTTTAACCACTAAAAGGAAACAAAGAATAGTTAAATTTAGGGCAGAGAAAAATAGTTAAGTGATCCAACAGGTTAAGCTTTACATTTTGCATCCATTACTGGTCTTCAGCACCATGGGTGGCTATCTTTATAATACTTTATGCTAAAGCTCAACTTTTTAAAAGTTCTACTGTTTCAAAATTCACACACACACACACCACCATCAAATATTGCAGCAGTAAAGCTTGAGAACTCTAGAAAGAAGAGAAAAGTAGTCACAATACCTCACAGCATATAGAGCATTTCTGTTTTGGTCAGGCAGTTTCAAGTGAGCACACAAGGTTTATACACTTTTTCTTAAGCAGACCATACACAGAAACACTACCCAAAATCCAGAAATGTGAAGCAGCAAACTTGTCTGTTAACAGCAGATGTCTGTTAGGATACCTAACAACTTTAGCCTTGTAGTGCCTTCTATCCCAGTCTCAGCAATATGAAATGGCCTTGTGATACAACCACAGAAGCTCAGAAATCTCACTTATGTAGACAGAATGGCAATTTCACTCATGACACTGCCTACAGACTTAGTCTGGAACACTGCTTCAGCTCAAAATTTGCTGGGCTCAAAGGAAAAATGTATGTGAAGTCTTTTAAGAATAGGTGAGGGGAAAGACAACCAGCAACAAACAAAAGCCTGCACCACCAATCATGTTTGTGGTTCAAGCTACTAAAAATTAAAAGGTTTGATTTCCAAGTTACTTTCCTAATATATATCTTCCCACAGTTAAAATACAACTTACTACTGCTCCTTCAAATGTCTAAAATTACCACCTTGAAAACAGAAGCAGGAAACATGCTGACCTAATTTAGGATACTGGCATTTTGTTCTCTGAAGGGTGCCTATCTTCTCAGAACTTGCCCTTTTACTTGCCTTAGGTACATTACCAACTTTAAATGCCATAAAAATAGGTTTATAGACATCCCAGGTCCCTAAGTCTGCATGCAGCAGAATTTACTTGTAAATAACTTATAAATACATGGACATGACAGATCCTTGCAAAGGCTGGCACAATGAAAAAATGCTCAAGACAGTAGCATAGAAAGCATCTAAGCCCCTTGAATGTGTATCAGCACATCACTGTTAATTTAAGTGGCTCTAAATATTGATCACTATCTATGTGGACTCATTACAGCAAGGCTCAGATCCTGAGCCTTCAAGCCATACAGAACACCACAGAAATTGTGCTTAAAAGGCAACTCATTGCCACCTTTGCAAATAACATAACGGCACAGAAGTGGAAAGTGTCCCAATTTAGTAGCCTACCTATATAAGAGAACTGAATTCACTTTTTAAGAAACACTTCAATACAGTTTAATTGAAACAGGGTAGGGAGGGTGTGAAGAACCAAACACATGTGGCCACACGCTCCAAAGTACAAGCACCAAACCAAGATACAACACACCACAACAATTCATAGAGCTCACACCTCGTTCCTTGTGCTTACTGTGGTCAACAGGAGTGAGCTGTTAAGCTGCCTACCAGGGTTAAACTACAACAGCAAAGCAAGATCAAATTTTAACAGCCTATACCTTGTTTCCAGTCTACCACTTTCCCAAGGTCCCAACTTTCTGGTCTTAACACACTCAACATTTAAACAAAATGCAGCTGATCATTCTGTGTCCCTGACCATAGCAGGAGGGTTGGAATTAGATGATCTTTCAGATCCCTTCCAACCCAAACCATTCTATGGTTCTGTGATTTCACAGGGGCATGTGTGAACCCTGAGTCACACAAAATGATGCAGAAGTACCCTCTAAAAGTGGATCTGGTTATCCATTGTGGTATTCTGTCAGCAAAGTGACGACCACAAACTTTCAACCTTAAATGCCTCTTTTCCAGACAATCCTGCAAGTTGCATGATTACACAAACGCATTACCCTTATGGAAAACCCATTATACAAGACATTATCTTGAAGCTACATCAAAATGAAGAAAGAAGTCAAAGAAGAATATTTGCAAAGAAGCCTGCAATAGTTAAATCTTTATAAGCTAAATTCCAGTTGAACTTTGTCTCGAAGTTCACCGCTCTAAATGTGAATCTGAACCACGTGTTTGTTACAGGTACTGCCACAACTTCTACCAAAGCACAGGAGAATTAAAAAACATCTGTATCTCTACATAACTGTACAGATACCTGTAGCTCTTCATAACCAACCAGCACCAGTTGATTCTAGTACAGTGAAGAGCTACTTATCCTCCCACTTCAACCTCACATCAAACTGGAAGCAATGACAGCACCCAGATCACCTTGAAAAAAGTGATCTTTTCAGTGTTCAATTCAAAACAGTACCTCCTTTTGGCATGAAGTGGAAGGAGCTCATTTCGCAGTCAGCGCTTCGAAGACTTTTCTATGTCATTTCACCCCCTGCTACCTGTCAATATGGAGTAATATGGAGTTTAGTGTGGAATATTTCTTACTTAAGTCCAAAGTAAGTTATTACTTTTCCTCTAACATTTTCAAAGTACAATTAAGAGGCATTTAAAAGGACCAGAAGGGTTCATGCAGATAAAAATGTATCAAACCCACCATGATGCAAAGTATTAAAAAATAAATGTACTTCTCTCAGAGGAAGGAAATCAGTAATACTGTTAAAAAAAAAAAAAAAGAAAAGAAAAAGTAATGGCTATTTAAGGATTAATTTAAAATATTTGAATTAAAGATTCTGCATTATAAAACAATTTTTACACAAGGGTTTTATGCCAATCTCTTGGCTTTTACAGCATTCCAATTTCACAATCTATATGAAAGATGAGCATGTTCACTTAGTAACTCCAGCCTGTTTTTTGAGAATCCAGGCACATACCAACAGTCTAAGTCAAATGAGTGTGCTGTTGCCGAATTTACAAAGAAAAACAAAACACATCCAGCATTTTGCTCAAGTTCCTGATGAAAATTCTTCAAACTTAGGAGCTGCTGCTGGAAACAAACAGAACCTTCATCCATCTCAGTAGCTTTGGGTAGTTTACTCTTGCCAAGCTCTGGCTCCACATGCTGCTGCCAACTACCACCTCAATTGTGACCAGCACAGGTCCAAGACTGCCAGAGCAGGAGCTCCTTGCTAAGTTTGGTACTGCTGTTTCTGCAGACACCTCCTTCACACAAAGCCTTGCTCCTGCATGTGAACAGTTTAAAAGCTTGGACCAGATGATCCTTAAGGTCCCTTCCCACCTGGTATCCTATGATTCTATTCTATGATTTTAAACAAGAGCCTGTTTTATTATGGTTATGCAATAAAAATTTTCTGTAGTGGTTTATTGGGTCAAGAAAATTTATGCCAAGCTTTATGCTGCTTCCTGTTACAAGTACACTAAAAAATACGGTTCAGCACTCCTAGTCCTCATTTTTATACCACACTTCCCATCCTGTTTAACACAGGATAGGTGTATAACACAATACACAACAAGGAAACAGACAGAAATGCAAGACCAAAACCATGACTTCCAAGGAAGCTATTCGGTGGCAAATCAGCAGCCCTACACCGCGTATCAAAACACGTCTGTAATTAACAGAAAACAAGGGTTTGGGGTTTTGTGAACTACCAGCACTTCAGTCTACCTGACAAGGAGTTGATCCTGCCTTCAACTGGACACCTGACCGGCCTGGGGACGATGGAGAGTCCCCCTCGCCACCGCCCGCTACCCACGCTGCCAAACGGGCCGCGGTGAGGCGGGAGGAAAAGCCCGGCTGCCCCAGCCGCTGCCAGACACCCCGCCGCCTCCCGTCCCGTTCACGCCGGCGGCGCTGGAAGCCGAACCTCGGAGGGAGCGAGACGGCTGTCCCGACGCTACCCGCTGCCCTTCCTCACCTCCATCCGCTCCTTGCGCCGACCAAACCAACCGGACCCCCGCCACATACCGAGCGGGCTGCTAGCAGGCCCCGCCTCGCCCGGCCAGCCGGAGCCCCTGCCGGCGCCTCGCCCCGCCCAGCGGCCCGCCCCGCCGCCTGCAGCTCTCGGGGGCTGGGTGCCTGCTGATGGTGTCTGTGGGAGCTCAGCCGGCAGCAGGGTGTGCTGAAGGGGTGTGGGGAACGCGGGGAGCCGACCAGAGCCAAGTGACCTCCGAGGGCCTGCGGCACCTGGTGCGGGAGGGCTGGCCCTTACGGTGGTGTCCCGGGTGGCCTCCTTTGAAGCATCCCCTCGAAGTTCGGGCTAACCGTGTTTTCTCTGGCAGCAACCCACTTCCTATATTCGCCACGCCTGGGTTTCGCTCCCATTCCTGACTTCAGCACTATGCGGACACCCGTTTTCCAACAGCTGCCCTCGGGGCTTTTGGCTAGCCCTGGCCAGCCTGATCTTGGAAAGCGGGAGAGCTCTGCGGCCAGCTGGGCGTGCAGGGTTGGCCATCATGCAGGGATAACACCCATTTGGAGCGGAGACCTTTCAGGTCTTCAAAGAAACAGATTTCTGCCTGTGCACCATGATGCATCCTGGACACACCATACCTGCCCTGGGCACCTGCGTAGCACACGTGAAAGCAGCTCTTGGTGAATCCGGCACCTCACTGATGCAAGTGAGTGCAGGGACTCACTTATGTCAAGTATTTACCGGAATAGTCATGTGAGTGCCTGATGCCACTATTTCCGTATTCCATCACCTGAAGTTGCTCAACCTCTCTATTTGGAGCAGAGCTGTTTGCTTTCCAAAAGTCTGGTTTGGTCAGCTGTCCCTTCTGCTGTGCCAGGGCATCACTTTTCCAGTTCAAACAATAGTTTTCTTCCTTCAGGGTTTGGGTAGTAGTTCTATATAGTTCTCATTCTGAAGTTTGATGGTGAAATTAAACATGTTCAAACACAGAACTGCAAGTTTTTCCAGCCAGGGAGAATTTCCTCTGAAATTGTTTCCTTGTCCATCATTTTCAGTTCAGTGCCTCTTCCCCCTTGAGTTTGCCTTGACCTCCTTCATTTTGGTTCCCATAAGCTTACTGTTGGTCACTCCTCCAGGACATGACTGTAGGGTACTGAGAGTGATTCTTTAACTCTGTCTCCATTTTTACTCAGCATCCACATGCATTTACTTTGAAGTAAACATACATTTTAATATGAATTATAAAAATGTAATGTAAGAAGAAGCTTCATCTTGGGGTCTGAACAATTTCCAAACCAATGTGAAGGGACTGTCATGTTGGTTAAGGCTTTGGAAAAATGTGGGAAGGCATCATGGTTTTAACTTGCTAAATGGTAGAAGTCTTTGTTCCAGGCACACATTTTCCCAAGTTGGAAGCTTGGGTTTTTAAGGTAGAAGGGCTAGTTTGCTTCCCTCTTAGTTTCATTAATGCTAATTGGAGGAAAGAAGGGATTCCCATACTGGCCTTCTTCCATGTTGACAATATCAGGATGAAGAGCTGGCTTGAGCCATGGAACTCTCAGAGAAGAAAGCTGTGAAATGTTTACCACCTTATCCAATGATATAAGATGGAGAAAACACTCTGTGAGCTGGATGAGTAAATTTCTACTCCTGTTGCTGTGCATGATTATAACAAGCCTTTGCAAGCTGTCATGTCTATTTTAGCCATTCAGAATGCTTTTATCTGCTTTTGCCTTCATTGTTTCTGAGTCAAGGGTGCTGTTAAGCTGAGTGGCTAAACTGAGGGAACTTCATAGGCCATAGCAATCTTAAGAACAAAGATATTAGAGTGCTCTATTTATTTATGTGCCCAATATTTTATTCCACAATATCCAAAGTTTGAAAGTTGGTGACATGGGGTTCAGAAAAGAAGTGTGTCCCAGTAGCTGGCAATGACCGGGAAAGCTGTCCATCATGTAGCAAGAGATTAGGGAGCATGCCAGAAACCCAGCAGTCTCAAGTAAGAGTAACAATTATATGTTGGATGTATGTAATACTTGATAACATAGAAGATAAAATCATCATATGTAGAATCTGGCATACATCACTATTTCCATAATTCTGATACCCATTATCTGTCATGACCACACTTTCAAAGTGAAAACCGCATGTATTCTCTGTCACTCATTTTAGAGAAACTAATCACTCCAAACCAAAAGTATGCTTCCAAAAGAACACGCGCAAGTGTCAGCACTGCCAAATTGTGATTCAGGAGCCAAGTATGCACTTTTCTCAGAGCAGAGGATGTTTCCTAGTGTTTCCTAAGAGTGTTGTGAATTTGATCATGAAACATCTAGTAAGACTCCACGCAGAGAGGAGCAATTTTGCAAATTTGTGTTCTTATTCCACTGTAGAGCTGTGTTCCCAAGTGACTTTTACAACCAAACCTGTTACCTCGATCATACAGTCAACTGTGTCAGTGTGCTTAAGTGCCAAGTTCACGTGTAATTGGGAAAAGCCTGTCATTGTTTCCAACTGCAGGCCTCTGAGGCATGTTTCAGGGCTTAAGCCTCTGGGCTGATGCCAGCTTGCTGCTAGGGAGACTGCATTCTTCAGAAATCAGTCAACACCAAGAACCCACACAGCGGTTTGTGTCTTTCAGTATCCTGGAGTAACTGACCAGAGCAACACAGTAAGTTGTTCCAGTTGGCCGTGAAAGGTACAGCTTCTGACACATCAATCACTGGTGTTGGAAATGATGACTATGTCATACTAATTAAAGCAAAGGCAATTTGATATTTCACTGAAGTTCTCCACAAGACTTGTACTTCTACATAGATTAATGTGGAAAGAAATCAAAACCAGAAAATTATACCAGAGAGTTTATTCATACTGAGTTAAGTTTTGCTACAGCTTGATGCAGCACCAAAACCTATAGATCTTATAAAACACAAACCAGTCCCAAGTCTCCTAGAGTCTGAACACACTTGTTTTAGCACAACAACAGAGCTTGTGCCCACCAAGATCATTATTGCAGAAAATCTTAAATGTGGGAGTGGTTGAATTTCTGGTAAGCCATGTCCAAAGTTCAAATCAAAACTGAGTAGCTGCATATCCTACTAGATCTCTTCCCTTAATGCCCTCTTGTACAAAGCTCTTTCTTCTTTGAAAGGACAGGGTAGCAAAAGAAACATAAGGACACAGACTTCATATTGAACTCACCACAGTGGCTATATAGTGTTGCTTCTTCCAAGGCATGTCAGGTACACAGGGCAGTAACCTGAAACAGGTTTTCGTGTACTGAGGCTTGTTCAGTCACACTGCTGGGCATTTCCATACCTAAGAGAGTTTGTATTTTATGAGGTATAGCCATCTGCACTTAAGCAAATTTATACTGGATAGAGTGACTAATCTCAAATTCACTTTTAAGTAAGTGAAAAACTTTAACATACTAGTTATCTCAAATGACAGCTTTTGCAACTGAAATCTCATTTAAAATAAAAATAGATGTTTAAATCCTTTTTCTTTTTTTTTTTTAAAGCTATAAGATCTTTCATCAGTTCTACACGTTTCCATGTGCAACTGTGGCTGAAGTGGAGGAAGTCTCTGCAGTTATATGACTGCCACTGCAACACTTGACTAGGAATGATGCTAGGAGCACCATTCTCCTCCTGTCCACCGAGAATCACTGTTGCTTTCTTAGCAGGATGCTTCTCTTCTGACTTTTCTGTGACTGGTTTCCATGCCTTCTCAGAGCAATGCTGACAGTTGTTGAGATTTTTCCTTTTTGCCTTCAGCACACAGAAGCTCTATAGCCTAGCTCATTTCCAATGTGACTGAGCAGGTCCAAAACCCTTCTTTTTTTGGCTTTATCCCGTTACTACTTAAGTAAATGTAGTACATAGTGAACTCAGAACATTACCTGAACAGTTCTGGTTTTAACTGAAACAGTTCTCAAGGCAGGCTGGGAATGTTATTATTGGTCAGCTTAGGACTTCCTTGAGGTGGAGACAGTATGTTGGCACTAATAATGCATATCAGAGCCAAAGCAAGTACCCAGTAGCTGAGTCATTGAAATAAAAATCAAGTTTCACAACTTGGTATCTCTGCCTGACACATAGCCACCTCAAGATCTTATCCTGTTTTGTGGGTTAGAGCTCTTGGAGTCAGCAGAAGTGCAACTGAGATGGCTGTAATTTATTTGCAGTGACGTCTGTAAGATGGATGCAGTGGTTTATACATTGTATATGTCTAGCATGAGTTTAAAATGTCCTTGTTTGTAAGGACTATGATCTGTCAGCTGTTATGAGCAGCTCTCTAACTTCTGCTTTTGCAATTTGCTATGTACAGTGTGCAGTCAGAAATTGTTATTAAATGTTGTACAATAAAGGGCCACATGCTGAAAAGGAGCCTGGAACTTTGAGCAAAGGAATTCTAGATTTAACCTTCTTACCCAGCCACAAAGGGGCACACAATAAAATCTGTACAAACTGTACAATGGCTACATATCTATAATAAGATTATCCAGTGTCTTGCTAGAATACCACTAAAATTGTATGAAAAAAAGTAGCAAGTAAGATGGAGCAACAAAGTGGCCTGAGGAAACCCATACAATAATATTCTTTAGATTTCTAGAAGAGCACAAAAAGGATCCACACAATTACAGCAGACCCTTAAATATGGTAACTGAAAAAGAAAGAATCTTTAGGAGCAGTAACTTGCAGTGGATTGTGCTTTGAAAAATAAAACTCTCTCTCAGAAGACACTGGGGTATGTTGGTGATTTAACCCTACAGTAGAAGGAAGGATTAGTCGCCTTAGAAGCATGTAATGCTTCTTTCTCCCATCACCTGTAAAATCTTGGAACAGCATGAGGCATAGGAAACAGAATGCAGAGCTACTTTTTGCCTAAGCTATGACATTCCTTGCAGAAAAAAAACAATAAAATCAAAGTAGCAGATGTGTGGCAGGTAATGCTCATGATAAAATAAGAATTAATCGTCTACAGTAAGTGATTTCCCATGATTAGAGCATGAACCCTTCGCC